GGGGGGGGGGGGGGGGGGGGGGTGGGGGGGGTTTGGGTTAACAAGTGACCTCTTGTTTTGGTGTCAGCCCTCTGCTTGTTTTGGTGCCTGCCCTCTGAAGATGCCGGTCACAGATGCTGGCGAAACGTTAGGAAACAAAACTTCCAGAACACAGCCACATAGCCTGGAAGACCCACATCAGCCATCAATTTGTGTGAGGTTAGTTGCCATGAAAAGTCTTAAAATTCATCAGAGGCAGATTTAGAGAATTTTTCATCCTTATCTAATCAAATACCTGGCCAGTTATCTCCTATGTTTTTTAAAACATAACATATCAAGATCAACACCTCCCCCAAGTCATCTACTGTCTTGTTATTAAATGTACTTAAGTATGAAATTGCACATAAACTATCTTAAATGGGATAGAATATTTCACTGCAATTGCTTCAGGACATCAGCTTCTCTGGCTTCTAGATGGGTCACATATCAAAGACTATATCCCAATATCATACTAAGCCTCAGCGAACTGTGGTTTATTCAGTCTAGTTTTCCAGTTTAGCACGAATCCCTGAAACATTAACTAGCTACATAGGCTGGGTTTAAACATACAAGGATAAAGTATGATTGGCTCGTTATGGATCAGTATGCCATGTGTTTCAAATATTTGATCTTTACTTAAAAAAAAATTGAGATACTGATGCCTTAAAATGTTTAAGATTTAAATGTCTGGGGTATGAATAATTTAAAGAATGGAGACCCTTGTTGAACACCACCATCAGAACAAAGATTCCTGTATACGCCTGCAGATAAACTGAGAATTTTAGGTACCAAAAATTGGGTTTGGCTAATCCACAGATGGGCTTATCTGCAACTATATATGGTAGATTTTTTCCCTCAGCTTTTTAAAAGTTTCCATATATCCTGTATATACTCATGGATAAGCCCATCGGCAGATAAGGAGACCTCGAATTTTTAACCAAAATACCATAAAAAATATGCCATCTGCAGATAAACCGATTGTGAAAATTAAAAAAACATACAAAACTTTTGAGGGTTGGCTTATCCACGGATGGGCTTATCTGCAGGTATACACAGTACTACTTTTTTGAAGTAGCAAAACTATTTTCAGAGAGGGTGAGATTGTGACATCACAGCTGCCACACAATAAATGTTAGACATAGATAGCTCCTGTTTTTGAGCCACGTAACTTTTTTTCCTGAGTTTATCCTCAGTGAGGAATTGGTACACTTGATATGATTACAGGTATGTACCTAAGTAAAATAATAGCTAATAGTAATCTACTAAGAAGCCACACTCGAGGACAATTTTGTGCGGCAATTCTCTGCTGCTTTCGTCTTTTACCTGGCTGTAGCACTGTTAAGTCCAAATTACACTTGTAAAAGTTTCTGGTTTCAGATCTACTCTCAGTTTATACCGTGCACCAACTTGATCAGAAGAGCCCCAATTTGTGAACTTTAATATGGTGAATAATCTACACCAACTGAAAACACTCTTAGAATGTGACCCAGGACCCTTTCTAGCTTTCTTTGATGCAGTTTTGCTTGTGAGTATTCCCAACACTGCTGAAGCCACGGGCCAAATAATGCTTTAACCACATCCATATCCACTGTAATGTAATTTGAATCTCCATCTAATGGATACAAAATGTGATGTCACATTATTGAAATGCCAAGCAACAACTGATTGAGGATTTATCTGCCATGTAGAAGACTGTAATCTGCACTTCCTTTGCTCTGTGGGACATCCCATTTCAACAAACAAGCAAAATCAAAGTTATTATTAACTAGGTTGTTTGTGAAACCCATTCTATTCATACAAGCCTCACATAAGCACCCCTTTTGGAACTCTGGGTGCAAAAATTATTTTTCTTCTCTTTAAGTGCTACCTTTTCAACTATTTGTCAGTCTGTATTTTGCCTTCTCTGTAATACGAAACTAATATTTAACTTGTTCAGAGATAGAGGAAAATAGTTAAGAATCAAAGTCCAAACACATACTACTTGCAGATGTTTAGCGTTCTGCCATAAAAGCCCAGCTGTGAGAGAGCAGATTGAAGTGGAGAATTGGAAAGTAGAGAAAGCACTAAATACCATTATTTTCTTTGTAACAATTGAGGTGTTCCTGAATGTTAAGCATTTCAAGCAGCAATTAAGCACTTAATAAAAACAGTTTTGTATCACTGTATAGCAAAATCAATTGCATAATATATTAGTGAAAAATTTCACAATTATAAGCAAGCCAATTAAGAGCCTCTACTCCACAGTAGCTGTGCTCTTCTTTTTCTTCCCCCACCAGCTTAGAAGTGTGTGGAAACTAGAGTTCCCTCTTACCTGAATATCCAGATAAGTGGTTTCTTCAGTAGTTGTGACTGTTCCGATAAATCTTCTTCAAAATACATTGGATGAATGTTCTAGTTTAGGCATAGTGTGAGTTTTTGCTGTTTTTTTAAGCATAGCTATTGCTTCTCCCTTGTAGTTGCTACCAACAGCATAGTCTTCAGCAATAGCTGGTTCCTACAGATGTCACACTCAGCCAATCCTATGTATCTTTACTTGAAAATAAGTCACATTGAGTTTAGTAAGTGAGGCGGCCTTAAAAAGCACAACCCTAAATTCAACTGATGTAACTGGGATTGTGTTTAGGAGGCATTTCTAATAGTGGGTTGACTTGGAACTGTGGCTTATGTTTTCTTTTTCTTTCTTTCTTCTTTCTTTCTTTCTCTTTCTTTCTTTCTTTCTTTCTTTCCTTTCTTTCTTTTCTTTCTTTCTCTCTCCCCTCCCTCCTTTGTTCTTTCTCTTTCCTACATGGCCACCACCACCAAGATTTCCTATTTTGCATGACATCATTATCCAGAATCAAAGTTACCATCTACAGCATTATATAATCTCATGCCTAATGCTAGGAAATACCATCACTGCTCTTTCAAGTGGCCATGACAACCCTGATGGTTGTTGTCAACCAGGTGTAGAAAAGAAGTGGGGCGGACCAAATAGTTTGTTAACCAGTCACTTATCTAATCTTAATACTTTTCAATAATTTAGTGCATACCAAGTGCTCAAAGTGCTTCTTAAATATTATCTCAGCAATGCTTGATATGGCCCATTACTATCTTTCTATTTCACTTTGGTGGCCAAGGGGAAGATAGTAAGGGCTAAAGTATCCTGAGCTGGAGACTAGTGACTACCAAATAATAGTTCTGTATATCAAGGAATCCCTTTAACAGGACCATTTGGAAGATTTAAAAAGCAAGCAAACTTAAGTCAGTCAGAAATCTTCCATCCTCTTTTACAGCAAAGAAATATACAAACAACTTTAGAAGTTCAGAGAGAAATGTTGGATGAGATTTTTAAAAATCTTAATGATATATGGAGGTCATACATAGAAATGTTAACCTGCACAAAATCTTTAAAAGGTGAAGTATATAATCTCCAACCTATCTGTAATAACAGTACAAAAAGTGCAATGGTCAAAAATACAACTGAATCTATCCTCCTCTAGAAGTTAGTGATGGCTCTCTTTCAAATACTTTGAGAAAGCAAGCAAGTTTGCAATCCTATTGCTCTGCAGCATTAGGTCAGGATGGATTAGTATATCACTGGTAATTAGTGAGCATGAATGTTAGAATACTGTAAAATGAACTTTTAATAATGCTCTTCTCCCAAAAAAAGACAAATGACTGCTCTTTTCGTTATTAAAAAAAAGCTTTTTAATGAATTCCCAGTCATCACACTCCCCAAAATCCCCAAATCTTCCTGAACTTAATAACATCAGAGTGCTTAAAAAAAAAATCCAACAACCAGAAGGGATTTGGTGTCTTTCTCCTGATGATTCCACCTCACCTCCAGCAATGTTGATGATTTGCAAAACAGCCTCCAAGTTACTTGTTGATGTGCATAAGTAGATTTCAGGAAGAGAGAAATAATGTAAACCAACATGATGTGGATTTGTTGGAAGTAAAAGAACCACACTCTTCCCTTCCAGGATTTTATTCTGCACTAGGAAGTGATCAGAAACTTGTGCAGAATGCAACCACACAATACCGGGAAGGGCCATTAAAAAACAATCTAGCTCCTAGTTGTGAATGTCTCCAATTTGAACGCATGTCACATATTTAGACTGGCACTTAAAAGATACCATCAGGCACCTCAAATGGGAAAGGCTGGCGGTGTTTCACAGGCGGAGGCAGAATCGCGCCTTCCTCCGCTGCTACACAGCAGCTTCAGGTGTGCAACTTCGCAAAAAGGAAGAAGAAGAAAAGAAGGGCCGAGGAAGACCCTCGCGTCACCCCTCCCTTTCCCTTCTCCCTCCTCCGCTATTTCCACCGCCCCTCCCTAAATCTCCCAGTGGAGAGGGGATTCGGCGCAACGCTCGCCGGCGACGCTGACGGCGCAGCTCCTGCTGCCGCGGGGCGCTAGGAGAGGGCGGGCAGCGGTCTTCAGCTGCCTCCTGTCCAGCGATCCAGCTCCGCGCGGCCTCTGCCCGTCCCGGTGGCCAGGCTGGTGACGGGCAGGACCAGGGGTTGCTGGGGCCGCATGGATTCCTCGTAAGTGGGCAAATATTTCACCTCTTCGTAGCTGGGCAGCTGCAAAAAGACGGGCGAGACGACGTGCAGAAGAGGGGGCGGCAGGAACGGCTCCCGGCCCCCGCTGTCCAGCAGCGAGGCCTGCGAGATGGCAGCCGCCGCGTTCAGGGGGGGGGGGCGGG